TGAGAGAGAGAGTGAGAGAGAGAGAGAGAGAGAGAGAGAGAGAGAGAGAGAGAGAGAGAGAGATTGCTTTGACGTAATGAGGGACAGGTGAATGATTAGATAGAATGTAAAAAAAAAACCCCGGTAAATGTTAGACATCAGAAACTACGAAAAAATGGAGACAGGAGAGTTTTGGCTTCAATTGTGCTTAGGTCTCGTTGATGACCTTGCTGTACATGAGAATAAGACCAACAAAAGGCACAAAGAAAAACAGAAAAAAAATATTGACAAAGTGTGTGCAAAGAAAGCTGGCTGTATTCATAGCAGACAAAGTTCGCCATACTGATGAAGTCATAGACTTCACCAAAAGGTACTCATTTTTTAGTCTTATAAAGATGACCACAAAATTAATCTTTTTGTTTTTGTTTTGTTTTCTTGTACACACGTCATTAACTAAAGCCAATGAAAAAGGATCATTTGGTGTACTGATGAAGATTATAGCGATAGTTTGCTATGAGTAAACGAACTTCATAGATTATGAATACACGTCCCAGATTTGTGCGATAAACGAGATTGTAAATTTTGAGAGAAAATTTGAAAGATAGTTGTATTTGAAAATTCAAAGCACAGCATTGTCTCTGTTTCTCAATTGACTCTGTCTCTTTCAGCTCCAGAAGGTTAGAAATAAGAAGAGGTGCTAACGAACAGTTGGAACAAAACTGGTTCGAAAATGACTGCAATCCTTAATGTACTCCGATAGACTAAGGCAGTAAGTTTGAATCATCTATTGGGCCAAAATGTCATTGCTACATTGAAGGAGTCTTCAACTGCAGATGACACACAACTATAAAGAAGAACAGAAACATTTTCTCTTGTCTAACGTAATAAGTGTTAGTTATCAAACAACATACTGGACATGATAGAAGGAGTAAACAGTTTTGCTTTTTAAGGCACAAGTTAAATAAACCATTGGGAAAAGTTCTGGGCAGAAAGAACCTTACAGTGCGAGAAAACGACGCAACAAACAGTTAGTCTATGAGGTATGTAGCACTAGGCGTACAGGACTGTCTATAGGTCTGATGTAGCACTGCGAGTGCAAGCCAATGTATGAAGATAACTCCATGATAAAACTCTTCTGAAAAATCTTTGTCTTTTGATTTCTTAACTCTTATTTTGTCATAAATCATCCACATCCAAAATCATAAAATGTGCTATGCAAATTATCCAGTTATTACAAGCCCAACACAATACCAGTGAACATTATAAACTGAATTTAAATGCTCAGAAATGGTAAATGAAATGGAGAACGAACAGTTTAAAAGAAAAGACGATCTGGAATTTTTATAGGGAAATAATGACATTTTCATGGTTTACAGTGAGCTTCAAGAGAGAGAATCATTTCTGAAAAGAACGAAGATGAAATTTTAACCCGTTCAGACGAAGGTCTAAAGCATTATACACTCCGAAAGGACCGAGTACCTGGATTAAGAGAAGAAATCATGGAGTCATCTTCATAAACAAATTCAGTGTGATATGATTTAAGCAGAAGCTGACAAATCTGGATCTAGCTTCTTCCTATTTTTAAAATATGTGCATGACTGTATTCTAAAAGAATTTCCAGTAATGAGACTTAACACATTTATTTTTGGTGTCGACAAACTACACACAGGCTGGCTAGAACGATAAGTTGCCTTATCATCCCCACACCCAAATTATTTTCTCCTAATTTTGTTTCGTAGGGAAAAAAAAGAAAAATATCAACGTCTAAGTGCTTTTTGATAGGCCTAAAATGATTGCTGTTTTGCTTCAAACAAGAACAGAATTGAAGAAAAGAAAAGAAACGAAACGAAAGAACACAATTTGCAACCAGAAACACGATGATGACGTCAGTACCGGAAATCCTCTTTTTTTCTGTATGCCTCCTTACCTGATTTGTCATCCCTGTCCTCCTCTCTGTCTGTCGCCTCGGCCTTGGTGTCTTGGCGAGGCTCCGGCTCCTGTTAAAAAACAAAACAAACACACACACAAAAGTTTAGTTTTAGTAAGAGTTTTACGGCACTTGCAACCCAATAAGGTCATATAAATGCCGAAGATTAAAGGTGTTACAAGAGAGTAACAAACACGAAAAAGACGGAGGGGAGATAAGGACGATAGATGATAGATTGGAAAGAAGAAGCAAA